TATGAGAATGCCTAGAATGATATCCTTTTTTATATATACATTTCATTGAATATACTCAGCCGTGAACTACATTATATTGGCTGTATATTATAATACATAAATCGCTTCTTCGGTTCCGTAATCGGGTAAAGCGTGTGTGGAAACTATGCCAAGCATTGAGTTATTTAAATCAATGATGCAAAATATGTGACAATCAATGGGGAGGCCTATGTTAAGCACTGCACTTTAAAATGCTGTAACTGTAACGGTATTGGATAAAAGGAAGAAACGTATTTGCTGGTCCAATACAATCATTGCGTTGATAGCAGCAAGCAAAGTAATTATTTACATATTATTCGTCCATCATATCTCGGTAATAATGAAACCTTATGGTGATTGAAGATACTTATAGCGCCATTTATATAAAATTACAGTAGTTAATTTATTATTACAGTAAAATAAAAATTATATGATATTTAGAATAGAACGGGTAGGAATAGTATAAAAAAGCTCAAAATCTGATAACGTAATTTTTCAATTTCACGATAATGTAAATTTTAAAACTTTTGGAAGTGCAAAATGGAAGTATGATATGTTTACTGCCAAGCTTCTATGTGATTGATATGATCCTTGCTGAAATGTTAATACCTCTTTCAAATTTTGATTAACCATGTTGTAGGTACTTGGCGGCTAAGAAAAAAATTATAAGCACACCTTAAAATGTAAGAGCCGTGGTAGCTCAGATGGTTAGCGCTCGCTCTAAATTTCACAATACGCGAGCAAACCGGGTTCGATCCCCGCCGGCACCAATGAAATTGCTAATTGCAATTTTAAGTGCTGATTTACCACGTGCTCGGCGGTGAAGGAAAACATCGTGAGGAAACCTGCATGTCTGAGAAATAAGAAAAAAATATATTTCGAAGACATGTGAAGTTCGCCAACACGCACAGGGGCAGAGCGGTAGACACTTCCTTGACCTAAAACCCTCTCAGAAATGAGAGGAGGCCTGTGCTCAGCAGTGGGACGTATATAGGCTGTAACTTTACTTTTAACTTTTACCTTAAAATGTATTATATAAATTATTCAATTAAATTACTTTTCTACAATAAACATTATCGTAAGAACGATTTAAAATCTACAACACCGTTTTTATTTTCTATTAATTTTTACTTATCTATTAAAAAGCAAATTGTTTTTACTTACGTAAAATGCAGGAAAAATTTTCTTATGCTGATTACTTTTCAAATTAAGTAAAATAAAAGAAAGGTACGGTCTTAAATTATCACTTATTAGTAAATTAAACCCTCACTAAACACAGTTCTTACAATAATAAAGTGAATTTGTCACTTTGACGATTAGAACAGAAGGCGCAGGTTCGGCCGCACACGGAATACTGTTCCCATCTCTGGGCTGGGGCTCCCCAGTACCAGCTCCTTCCACTTGACCGCATCCAGCGCAGAGCGGCTCGAATCGTCGACGACCGAGTGCTTTCCGATCGGCTCGATTCACTGGCACTGCGAAGAGATGTTGCATCTCTTTGCATTTTCTTTCGCATATACCATGGAGAGTGCTCTGAGGAATTGTTCGGATTAATCCCAGCCGCCAAATTTCGTGAACGCACTACGCGGCAAACGTCCCGATACCATCCACACCATCTGGATGCTTGGCGGTCCACCACTGTACGTTTTAAGAGGAGTTTTCTTCCGCGTACAACCTCTCTATGGAATAGTTTACCACCAGCGATTTTTCCGGACCGATACGACCTGGGGACCTTCAAGAAAAGAGCGTACTCCTTTCTAAAGGACCGGCAACGCACCTGCAATTCCCCTGGTGTTGCGGTTGATCATGGGCGGCGGTAGTCACTTAACATCAGGTGAGCCGCTTACTCGTTTGCCCCCTCTTCTATAAAAAAAGTGCGGAATAAAAACAAAATTGCGTCAGAGGCGATAAGAGGCGGGAAATCCCCCGTAATAGACGCACACGCGAGAAACAGTATTACTAACTCTAAAAATATTTACTTTATTTATTTTATTTAAAGCTTAAGTCACTTATTTGCAATATATTTACAAATACAAATACAATTATATTAACAATTATTTGAAAACCTCCATATAAAAATTACGTTTTGTAATATTCGTTATTTATAAATTATTTGAGTACTTTTTACATTATACACAGACACGCATTCACAGAGCTTTCAAGTTTAAATGAATTAGAATCACACACACACACACACACACGCGCGCGCGCACACGCCACGCACACGCACACGCAGATGCATACGCACATGCACACGCGCATGCACACGCGCACGCATACGCACACGCGCACGCACACGCATACGCACACACACACACACACGCACTCAGACACTCACACTCACACACACACACTCACACACACACGCTCACTCACACACACACACACTCACACACACACACACTCACGCATACACACACACACTCACCCACCCACACACACACACACACACACACACACACACACACACACACACACACACACACACACACACACACACACACACACACACACACACACTCACACACATACTCGCACACACACGCACACACTCACACACACACACACACACACACTCACACATACTCACACACACACTCACACTCACACACCACACACTCACACACACACACAGTCACACTCACTCACACACTCACACACACACACACACACACACACACACACACACACACACTAACTCACGCACGCACGCAGCACGCACGCACGCACCCACGCATGCACGCAAAGTGCGCACTAAAAGTACCCATAAAAATATAAGCCCCTTAAAATCCTATCCCAATTATTTACAATCTAAATTTGGTGGGAAACCCCTAAGTTGGGAACCCTGGCGAGACAATACACCGACCAAAAACAAAAGACGGAGCATTCCCTTGAAGTAATTTCCTTTAGAGTAAGAGTAAAAAGTTAATAGCTTGCTTATAAATACTCTAAGGGAATTTCCCGTTCCGTTCTATAGATACGCATACTATTGATTGATCACGGGCTTGGAACCCAAAATAGTCTAGTGGCGAAGCTAGGGCTCCAAACTACGGCAAGCTCAAGATATGGCTTTCTTGTTTTTAGCAGTTTTATAAAAATACACCAATCTTGATCTGTCTCCACTCTTCAGTTTCATATTCAGTGCTGTCGAGGACGTGTTTAACAAAGCACACAGAAGGCATACTACTGCTAGATAGATCGTATGACATATCACCAATTCCATACCTTCGGTGGCTTTGAAAAAAGCCATTTGAGTGTGCTTGAGCGAAAGAAAAAGATATTCACATACAATAATACATGAACAAAGTACAAACAAACTATGTACAAAATTTAAAAAAAACAACAAATTAAATTATATTCTAAATTGAATTGTCTCTCTTTCTTAAGGAAAGTTTAATTACGCCCGTGTAAAATGTTGGTGAACGTTTTAATTGTACCATTAACTGTTTTTCAATTGCGTTAATTGATAAATCCGACAGACGCTCTTGACCTTGTGTATTTTCTCAACAAAGTTTAAAGATTTTACTTTTCCTCGCCGATTAGCACTTTAACACATTTCAATTCATCACAATATTATCCTCCATTTCACTAAAAATCTTTGAAAGAGCATAGATTTTCAACAGACACAACAAAAACAAACATAAATATTGAAATGTGAAGTGAACTTGCAACCGTGTCGCCCGCGCAATTGGAAACAACTTCAGAGCAAAGCCCGGCTTTTGCTTCTATAGTAATTGCTATATATAAATTTCGTAGTTATATTTTAATTATAGAACATTCTGCCACAGGTTAGAAAGGGAGCGACCGTCTTCTCGAAAGCCCGGTAAAAAGCCCACGCGTGCGAGAGAGACGACTAATCGCTCAATTCAACTCCTTGCTTTCATTAATTTTGACAGTTCATTGCGTGTTCGCTTTGAGACAGAGAGAACACGAATCAGTGTATTTCGAATTAAAAGCAAACTGCTAAGTGTTGATGTTACATATATGCTACAAGGTCATAACCTGTTTAGAACAGAGGAGCGCGCGGGAAATTTAAAAACAGTTTACGAGTTATTTTATTAGTTGATATTATTGATTGAGCAGTTTGAAAGGGCAAGATTGGCTTTTGGGCTTCTATAGAGGCTTCGACACTGAAATGGTGATCACGAGGCTGCCAACCTTATCATATTTTTTTAATTTTGGATATTATTTTCTTCGTTATATCGTCTATTGCTTTTAATGGAGACTGGAGACCCTTGGTATCCACGGGGCCCTGAGCTGCAGCCCAAAAAGCCCTTAACTAGATACGGCCCTGACCCCTGAGCCTTATATTTGAAGTGTAGGGCTTTACACTAGATAGAGTGACCACCTGATCAAAGATGTAGGAAGTCGATGGATGTAAGTGGCTCAGGACGGTGCCTAGTAACATTCCTTTGGGGAGGTTTGTGTTTAGCAATGGAATTGTGATGTGTTTTCTTTTTCTTTTCTTTTTTTTTCGAGTTACCTCAACAATAGGATTTTCTCCTGTGTCGTGGTAGCTATACATGGTAGTTTACATACATAAACTTCGTACGTAACGTAACTATTATTTGTAGTCCATACAAATGCTAGTTCCGTGCGGAATACGAACCAGCGGCTTACGTTTCAACTCATTGCTAAGCCACTAAGCCACGGAGCCGTCAATTGTAATGATGGTGATGATGATGTTTAGCAGCTGACTTGAAATGAGAAGTTATGCTGTTGTTAATGATGATAGAGATGCTAGAAAGGTCAGTTGAGTTTATTAATTAAAAACTTTATTTATTACTAAATATACAATATCTTACATTTTAGAAAGGACATAAAAAAATAAAAACTATATTACAGTTACACTAACAATTTTTCTATTATGACAATAATATTGAAGAACAGAACTTACACGTACATAACGATAACAATTTAATTTTCAAACTTTTTCTCCGAGAAGACGTAGTACATAATACTCATCTTATAATTTACCTTTCTTATAGTGGACATGTCTTTGCTCCATGTTTTTTTGTAATTCCGGAGCTATATGGATTTATAAGGAAGGTGTCTTTCATTCGCCCAGGCATATAAGTAAAAAATATATCTCTGTAAGTTATCAGAATTATTAGCATTTCTTTTATTAAATATAATTTATTTTATCCCAAATAGAGTTTTTATCACTTACAAAAACGCTTTACTAGGATAAGCATCATGTTTTGTAGTAGGCCACCAAAGTCTCGTTTGCTCAAGTTGCTTAGATCGATTTCTTGTAACGAAATCATTTAGCAATACATTAAACTGAAATCAATAACAAATATATCACTATTGTAATATGTTAATATTCTTTTTAATAATACTGAAGTGAAGTGACAAACGAATCACACTCCACTTGATAGCATGTGACTACTGCAGACCGTGGAAACTTGCAGACAACTTCAAACAAAGAAGGCTACATGAGTTGTCAACACTGACAAAGATGGAATGTCTCACAGGTTATATTAGTACGTGCTCTCTGTGACCTTCAGACCAGAACACAGCGGTGCTATTTGGCGACACAAATGGTTAAGAGAGTAGTATTTACCCTGATAGACTTCTAGATAGAAAAAAGAGCCCTACCTAGGACATAACTAAAGGATAGTAATTGCATTATGGTAATAAATATATAATGGCAACATTGGTTAACTAGATGTTTTACAAGATTTAATGTACTCTTATAATTACAGCTTTCACTCCAGTATTATGATGTGCCCATGTGATGTAAATTCCAACAATACTATGACAGTTTGGACTAATCTTTATGATAGACGGTCAAACAAACTTTCTTTAGAAAACCCAAAACCAAATTACAATGTGGGTGATTATGTTCGAATATAAACATGTTTGCCAAAAAGGATATGAATCAAATTGGAGTGATGAAATATTTATTATATCTTCAATAATTAATAGATCTCCATGGGTTGTTTATAAAATAACAGATTTACAAAATGAACCAATAGTTGGTACTTTTTATGAAAGAGAATTACAGAAAATCAATTACAACCCCACCTCACAATATAAAATAGATAAAATAATTGACACTCGTTATTCAGATAACGAAAAGAAGTATAGTGAAGTGGAAAGGTTATCCAGATAAATTTAACAGTTGGATTTTAGCTTATAGTTTAAAAGAAATATGAATAAAGAAAGTTTTTATTTAACTTTGCTCAGCAATAGATCAATGGAATACTTTCCTGATAACCAGACCACAAATTTTCCAACAAAATTACCAAAAGCTATTTAATTAGAAGGTGAATGGTCGGTTGGAGTTGTCTAGTTTCAATATCCATGTATCATGTTTACTGTTCAAGATCATGAAAATGTTATATACATTATAAAATCCATGTTAATGCCTAATGAAGATAAATCATCAACAGTGTACTACAAAAAACATATTCCAGCTACCAATTATAATAATGTTGAGCATATTTTAAGAGCGTTAAATGGTATTGAAGAGAACTTGAAATTTCGCTATGATGAAATAACAAAATTTGTGTCTGTTTCTGTTTTAAATAAAAATATATCATCCGTAACAATATCACCTAAATTAAGTTTACAACTAGGTTACGAACCAAACAAAAATCTCCTAGAGAGAAATTTTGGAAAATGTCCTGCTAAATTACACTTAGGGTTACAATCTCAACTATTTCTATATTTCGACATTATCGATCCTCACATTGTGGGTGATATTATGACTCCTTTACTAAGTCATTTCATTAGATCCAAAAAAATACATTTATGGTGCAAATAAAATGCACGTTTCCTCTCCACCTCACTACTTACCTGTTATGCGAAGAGAGTTCGATACGCTGGACATATTTATTAGAGCACAGGACAAAAAATACCATTCCAGTTTGGAACCGTGTGTATTAAACTACATTTCCGCAAATTATAATAATAAATCATAAATGTCCATATGAAAATTATTATACACATCAAGCTGGGTCAAGAGTTGGAGTAATTTATAAGGGATTACCATACCGCACAGTCGCAGTCATGGTATTGGGAGCTTCTTAGGGGAGTTATTTAGATCAGTTTTACCTTTACTTCCAAGTGGTGCTTGAGCGATTGGCAAGGATGCCTCCTTGCCAATCGCTGGAGTAGGACTTTTATCGCATATGGTTCAAGCGCGTCCTATGGAAGCCTGAATAAAAGATCGTCTAAAGCAAGTTAGTACAAATATAAAACGAAAGGCTGATGACAAAATTGATCAATTTAACATGACAGGACCTGGGTATATAACTAAAAGAAAACGATTGGCCTTTTTCATTCCACCATTAACTGCTTAAGTGAAAACTGAGAAAAATACAGTCTAAAACAAAAAATTATCAAAGATATATTTTCAAATTAAATATATCTTTCGTTCATAATCATTCTTGTGAGTGCGTTAATTCAGAATTGGATTTGTTTGCACTACCGCCTATACAAATAAGCATTGAAAATGGATTGTGGATTCACTATAAACCAATTTCGTCTCTTGTTGATGATGGACCTATCAAGTTTCAAGTTCTTGGGACAGACGATGACTACATAGATTTGTCTCATACATTACTCCACATAAAGGCAAAAGTTAAATCAAGATTCAACTAACTTGATATCAGCTACAATAGTAGCACCTATAAATAATTGACTGCATTCACTTTTTAGTCAACTTGATGTTTATTTATACCAAAAACTCGTATCACCACCTAATAAGACCTATACATATCGAGCATATATGGAAAACCTTTTAAACTATGTTATTTAAACTATGGTAAAAACATTGGATTTGTTAAAAGACAGGAATTGTTTAGTGAAAGTAAGGAAATAGAAATGATTGGACATCTTCACGGTGACATTTTCAACCAAGATAATTTTTTTAATTAATGGTGTTGAAATGAGTGTAAAATTAGTTCGATCAAGCGAGAGTTTTAATTTAACTGCTGGATCAAAGGATGTAAAGTTTAAAGTTTCCATTACGGACGCACCTCTTATTGTCCGACGAACACGAATTAATCCAAGTGTATTGTTACTCGCACATCAAAAAGTTTTAACTTCTACCACTGCTAAATATCCTATTACTCGAGCTGAAGCAAAAGTTTTAACAATTCCATCGAGTGTTCAAGGAAAAACTCTTGATAATGTTGCGCGCCTAAGTTGACGTCAGGTACCTGGCACTCGCATCATCTAGTGTCGGGGACCAGAGCGAGGAGAGCTTCAACTTCACCAACTCTAGTACGAACAAAAATAGAAGCCCAACTCGAATTTCTGCTCTACGAAATTCTTGTTTCGAATATAAAGCTGAAGACGTCGGAGTATTGCGACCTTCGAAGCGAAATAAAGTGAATCAGTGTGATTAATTATTAGTGTCTTTTAAGTTTTAATTTGTGTTCGGTAATAAAAGTGTAAATTTTGGTAATTCAATCGGCAGTTTTTATTGTCAGGAACCACAAGCTCGTAACAATAATATATTCTTAGGACAGGTACCCAAAAGATCTATAATTGGATTTGTGAAAAATTGTGCATTTAATGGTTCCTTTACTAAAAATCCATATAACTTTGAAAACTATGGTATTAATTCTTTCAGCTTATATATTAATGGTCAAAAATATTTTCAAAAGCTTTGTAATCTTCTTTCAATAATAGTATATTTAGGTAGGTACAAAGGTAGTATAAGATTAGAAGTATGATTTAAATCCTCACTAATACAAACAATTAACTGTATAGTTTATGCTGAGTTTGATAATATTATTGAAATAGATAAAAACAGAAATGTTACTGTAGACTATAATAGTTAAGGTTATAATGTGTGTTGTGTTTTAGATTTATGTGTTATGCGTAATGCATTTTGTGTGTATGTAACTATGTGAAACATTATAAAATTAAATAAAACAAATTGTATGCAATATATTATTTTTTATTTCTTTATAAACCCCCTATTTAAACTTATACAAAACACTGTTCGAGTTTCAGCAGTGAAACTGATAGTAACTTTATGAGTTAACAAGCTTACCTCGTATTCTTTCGTGTTGCAACTTATGCTACACCGATGACTCCTACAAATTATCACATAAGAATTGAATATTTACAAATCACTATAATTGATCATAAACTACGTATTTTAACCATTAAATAGATTGGTAATGTAAAAAATTAAAAGCAGTAATATCATGGATTACACTTGATGTATAACGACATCTGAAAAAGATTCATCCCAGTCTAGAAAATAATGTTTATGCTGCTAATAGAATGCCCATGTATACCCACGTACCAACGTATATTGCAATTTGGATACAGATGATAAGCCAGGCTCACATTGGATAGCTTTATATATCGATACGAATGGCATCGGTCAATATTTTGATTTATATGGACGACCATCTGCACGATATCATCTAGAGTTTTAAAAAGGAATTGTAAAAGATAGAACTGAAATGTTGATAGGATTCAGAATGAGTGGGTTTCGGTTTGAATATTGCTTAATGTATATGCTATATAAGTTTCAGGGATATTCAATACATAGTTTTACGAGCATATTTACAGAGAACACACTGTACAACAATATTTAAGTGGATGAGATGTTTCGCTCCTATTTTATAACTAATAAGCAATAACATTTTGGAAATAAAAATTGTAACAAAATTAAGGAATGTGTTTTATTGGTGATTCAGAATAGTGTAGTAGCTAGTTAGATGAGCTACGAATATAGAAGTATATATAATACAATAGCACTGATTAAGCAGGGTGTACGACGAATAGATAAGAGCGTTAATGACGGTGTTCAAGGAACAATAGATAGAATAAATTAGAGGAAAGTTTGGAAACAATGGAAACGCTATCAATAGAATGAGGGTGCAGGCTCACCGGATATCAATTAGATATTAGTTAATTGATCTGCACATCTCCGGAACCGCGCATCCTACGCAAAAACCAACGCCAACAACCGCTACAGATTCGTGATCAGAGCATGCCTTTTTTTAGGATCCGTCGACACACCGACAGACGACGAGGGCCGGTTTGTTCCAGTTCTGGCTCATGAGCTAGAACTGGTATAAACACACTACTTTTATTAACGTAATAATTAGGTGTTTGATTACTTACTAATTTCTGAACTAAACCTCGATGGGACCAATTCATGTTATTTAATTGTGTTGTTGTAAATGGTATTCTGTAAGCACGTGCACGAAAATCAATATGTTTTAAATCAAGCCATCTGCGTTGCGATTGAAGTAACAATTTTCCTGTAAGGAAGAAAGATATAGTTAGTATAATTGCACATCAATATCTAACTCTAAGTCAATACATTATAATCAAGTGGTAAAGTAGAGACAATATTATATTGTCTCTACTTTACCACTTCTTTTATTTCTTATATTTACGCGAGCACTACACATTTAAATAATATTAGTTATTACGGATTTTATCGCGTATATATTAAACTTTTTAAAAATCCGACGTTTCGAGCCCTCTACAGCACCAAATGGTCACGGGGGGGGGGGGACTGAGATGTTCAACATCCAGATGTCATAGTAAACCGCGGTTACCTTAGATAAAAATGATTAACTTTTGTTCCGATCTACGCAGTATGAACTTATAATATCTCAAAGTCTTGCAGTTGTTTGCTTGGATTGGGATTTCATTTTATTAATTATAGGAACCCAAGCAAATTGTAGCACCCAGCCATCTTCTCTATTAAAGTTAGGATGTTTTTTGATTTCAATAGACTCGCGAATCTTCCTTGGAAGGAATCGGTGTTCTTTAGCGAGGATTTGTGGTCTATCAAATTTGATGTAGTGACGGGGGCGATCCTGTATGTGTTCACAAACAGCAGACTTCCCGGAACGTCGATTCTTCACATCAGCTATAACATATAGCTTTAACGCGGGTTTTTATTGATCTTTTAGTTGGTCCTATGTAGCAGAGACCGCATTCACAATCAAGCTTGTACACTCCTGCACAGAAGGACATAACAGTTGACTGATGGTGAAAACTGACCAATCTTCTTCGGCGGCTTGAAGTATGTTTTAATGGAAGCGCGCTTTAAGATGTAGCCAATCTAGTCAGTTACTCCTCTGACATATGGCAGTACAGCAGGTACACGCTCGACAACGGCCAGCTTCACTCGTTCACTGTGACGTAGGTGCGGTACCCGAAGCTTGTTGTAATGCAAAACTTGCTTGACGTGTTGGAGCTCGGCAGCCAGTTGTTTACTATCACAGATCCCTCGTGATCTATGCATATATGGCAATTAAAAATGCTGTATTAGTCCCTATTTTAATGTATGGCTGTGAAAGTTAGATGTGACAGAAGAAGCGTGGGAGTAAAATTAATGCTGCCAGAATGCAATCATTAAGATATATGTTAGAGGTGATTCTGAATGATTAGGGTGAGAAATCGTGATTGGGATTATTAAAAAGGAATGCTTTGATGGTTTGAAGATGAACGGCGTGCGAGAAGACCAACGAATCACATATACGAACATCGAAAAGATTGTAGGCATTAGTTCGGGGAGCATTCATACCATCCCATACCATCCCACATAACATCTTGGAGTGAGGAAGCTTTGTTATCGATGGATACCTTGTTTGCTCCCCGAAAGCGAAAAACAGACTCGGGTGGTTTGGTGCCATGGAATGCGTCTATGTTCTGAAAACGGGGCATCTAGGCGTGTTTCAGAAATCGTTACTGGTGACAAGACATGGATCTATCAATATGATTCGGAAAATGAAAGGCAATCATCGGTATGGGTCTACTCAGAACGACAGTTACCGACAAAACTGCAAAAACCTCGCAACGTTGGAAAAAAATGGTGGCTAGTTTTTTTTTCACGGAGTGGACATTTGCCATTTCAATGCTGGAAAATTGTAGGTCATTAAACTCTGAATGGTATACTACAGTTGCATTACTCAAAGCTTTTCAAGCTATGCGGGAGAGAAGACCAAAGACCAGGCTTCCGGGAATCATGGTGCATCACGATAACGCCTCTTTACATACCTTCCTTAGAACTAAAGCATTTATTGAGGAATCTGGTGTGGAAACTCTAAGTCACCCACCCTACAGCCCTGACTTAGCTTCTTGTGATTTCGTTTTGTTCGTTAAGAAGCCGTAGCTGCCTACGACGAATCGTTTTCCGACCTGTCAGATCAAGACTGGCAAAAGTATTTTCAGATTTGGTTTAGGCGAATAAAACTTTGTATAAAGTGTGATGGAGAATATTTTGAAAAGATGTAAAATAAATATTAATTGTATCTAGAATACTTTATGTATATCTCAAAACTTAATGAATGTCCTACGTATAAAACGCGTAAAAGTTCGTAATCGATTTATTGGTAGTTGTGATTTAGCGACAAAAGAGAAGGCAGACCACGTTCGCGCCACTGTTATATCACTATACTACTTTACGTGGTAAAGCCACGCTGCAGCTATAACAGTTGTAGCCCGAATAGATTGGCTCGACCGGAGTAGGGCCACGCTCTCACAAAATACCAGCGTAAAATAGCAGCTTAAGGCTGTTGTGTTAAGTGTATAGAACCGGTGACTCTATTTATTGGAAAGGAGGCATTCCATCTTAGTAATTGACAACGCATCTTCACTTTATTTTTAATCTAGGATAAGTGTAGATAGAGAAGTCTATAAGCCACAGCATTCACTTACCATCAGGTGGACTGTGTGCTTGGTTCGCACCCCTATTCTATAAATAAAACTGTCGTAGTAGTGGTCTCTGTGTTCGTCCCGTGACACAAACTAAGTGTCAATTAAACAAACACAATTATTATTCCTTGTGAAACCCATACTAAGCTTAAGGATAATTTGGCAGAAATATATCGGCTGAATTGAAGTAGATTTCATAGTGAACTTTCACGATATATTTTAAGTTATACGAAGATTTCATTATTCAACTACGTATTGTTGTAAGATGTCAGATGAAGCTTCCATAAACTTTCGTAGATATAAATGAGTATTACTAACTGGATTAATAAAATCCTTAATTTTGCTATGGTTCATAAAAGATAGCTTGATCTCTGCGACAGCTGTCAGTAAAAATCACGCTTATGAAGTCCTGAATTTCTTAGTAGTACAGACAGTACCTGTCAATGTCATACTTTATGGGCATGGACCTTTGACTAGAGAAGAAAGAAAGGACATGACATACCTACGAAAAAAACGTGTATACCTAAACTGAGTCTGGCACAAAGGTGGCGGCTTGACGTAGTGCTGCGGCTATACTTAATATCGATAATGTGGCGCTTATTTAGAAAAAGATTCTTTCGTGTGATTCGTCGCAAACACCCGTGTGTTCTTAGATAGGTTTTTTTAAATCAATATGATGGATTTTTGTCGCCAAATTGTAAGTCCTTAATTTTTTTTTACTCAAGCTATCGATAGGGGTATCCAAATAAAGGAAATTATACCTATAAGATATACCTATGTTTTCAGTTCATTACTTTTAAGCAGTCGTTTTTTTGTTTTTATAATGTAACTATCTATTATTAATGTTACAATTATTTCCCGGGAATTATTAAACAAGAAAAATACTAATTAAAGCATTTTTGCTTGTTTGTTAGATCATAAATTAGACTCAGTAATCATACTCACACTAATCAAACTATAATAAATGCAAAATTTTGAATGTTTGTTTGTTCCTCCATCACGCCAAAAGGATCAGACCAGTTTGAATGTAATAGTTTGGCACACAAATAGTTTATTACCTGAATTAACATATAGGATACTTTTTATCTCGATTTAGAGGTCTCGAGGAATAGAATAAGAAATTTCGTAACAATCGAATTCCACGAGAGAAACATAAAAATACACACTCCCTCACTAAAGTTGCAATGACAACTGATATAGTTGTCATTGACTGTGACAAAACATGGCGCCCGGCCGCAGTGAAAAAATTGATGCCATATTCGGTAATGATGAAACTATTTTTGCCCTTTTTTACATACGAATATACTCATAAGCTAAAAAGAGTCGCCGATATTTCGTTACATTCCTACAACTAACGATCTTTATGTCATGTCCTTTCTTTTTTCTCTAGTCAAAGGCATGCACTAATTAAGTCGGCATGCCCATAAAGTATGACATTGACAGGTACTGTATAATGTCTGTACTACTAAGAAATTCAGGACTTCATAGGCGTGATTTTTACTGACAGCTGTCGCAGAGACCAAGCTACCTTTTATGAACTATAAGTCATAGACCAAATGAATTTATCGACAACGTTTTTTATTTCGCTAATGGAACATCAACAGAGGTGTCTATGGAATGGAAAAACTGCAACCACCTTTTAAAAGAAAGAAGGTGAGAATAATAGAGCCAAATAAAGCTATCCTATTTTTACTATGTTGAACGTCATATGTATAAAGAGTTCAGCGTTATGAATTTTGTTCCCTTTTCCGGACTCTATCGTAGACAGAGAAATCTATAGACAAATTGACGCCTTCTTTCGCATTCGCACACAAAAAAGATAAATTTATGCATACGTCTTGCATAGAAATGAGGCCACGCTAATCATTAGTCTATAGGTTTCTCTGTCTACGCTCTCTATGCTAGTAATTACTCTGAGAGATTGTGTCAATTAAATTTTTTATTTTATTTTATTTTATTATTTGATTTTTGACTTGGATCCTTGTCTTTGACGCCATGTCTTCATTTCATTCGTGATCTTCGTTTGTATAGATTTTTTCTTCACAATATACTGATACGTCACATTGCAAATAACTTGCGAGATTTTGATGACAACTCAACCCAAGTCCTCCAAGTCAGTCGATGATGGTAAATCAAGTTCTTAAGGCACCCAAGCTAACAAAATAACTTTAGATTTATATTAACATCGAAACACTTGTTTCGTTGTTTACACTAATTAACATGCATAAACACTTAATACACAAAATTGCATCACTTTTATGTATCAACATCCATTACAAACCATTATTTAAACAATAAAACAGGAGCAATAATTCGTCAAAACTCCCTGTTTTAAGTAAGTAAAACAAGAAAATTATGAATATTCCTGAATCACAGAAAAAGTTGTCTATTTGTATTAAGTACGTTAAAAGACAGAAATTATTAAAATACATCTTACTTTGAGTAGATGGCGACATTTTACCCTTCACTCGCTTTCTAGCCCATTCTTGAAGATTATTTAATAAATTAGCTTGTGGTAGGTGCGGTATAAGAAGTGGCGTATCAGACAATTCGGCAAAAAATGACTGAAAGAAAATTAAAAATCAAAGTAATATTTACATTCCATCTGATGATTGCACATTATCTTTTACGAAGTATGGGTTACTTAAGGTAAAGCAAATTAAGTTACAAAAAATTAACTACACAGCTCAAGTTAAACTCATGCCTTTTTGATATGTAAGTATTGAGCAACCTAAATTATCTTAGGTCGCTGCGCCAATCTAACAAATATGTTGTTAATTGCAATTTTAATTGATAAATTGCCATGAGAAGTATGGTAGTGTAGTTAATTTTCATAAAAACTATGTGATAAGACCACTCAGCAGCTCAGCTTCTTATGGCTCCAGCCCAAATAGGTTGTCTAGACCGGAAAAAGCAACGCTCTCCAACGTAACCAAGTGGAACGCTTCTTAGTCCTTGAGGGTAATATAGCATCTGCGTTTTGATTCGTAATCGATGATAGATGTAGATGCCTATGAGCCACAATATCGCTTACCATCAGGTAGTGTGCATTTTTATGTATATAAAAAAGTGAAGCCTGCCAGTGCCAGTGTTTGTCGTCTGCAAGGGACTACTGTTATTTATCCCTGCAGGTTTCGGGCCTCGGGGTGTTCCCCATTACCCGGGCAATCCTCACAGCCCATTTCTATGGGTCGGTCTTGGGAGCCGTTCAAGAACGGCATTGCAGGTACTCCTCTTTGGCGTATTGCGCGCCGCTTGGTAGATGCTTCCGAAGGGTCAGCAGTCTCAAAGCCCCGCGGAGTCCGGCGGACCACAGGAGTCGACGCAGGGCCAATCCTGCCAACAGGTGTGCGCTCCTGATAGCAGCACACCGGGCCTCAAGTGCTCCTCCCTAGCTCTAGGTTATGGTCTGGTAGTTTCCTAGACAGTAGTTGGCGCAACTCGCGCTTCTGGGAAGGGATCTGCCGAAGGGTCAGCGACCTCCAGGTCCCGCGGACACGGATCTCGACGCGGAGCCGATGTCACCAACAGGCGCGCGCTCTCTTAGCAGCACGCCGGGCCTCCGAAGTTCGCTTCCCAGCATAGTAGATGATACGCAGCGTGGGGTATGTAACGTCCCGGGAGGGGTCAGGGGCGTCCTCGAGGCTCAACGGAAGCCGAGTTGGCCCCACAGTACGTACACCCACTGCGAAGCGACGTGCTGTGCTTCTCCTACCCGGGCGGAAGCCGACGACCGACGGACGTGACTGACTGCGAGCGCGGTCCGAACGCGACTTGAAGCCTGCCAACTCCCACTAAGAACCGAGTAGAGTTGCTCTACCGTAAAGTGAGACGTTTATGAGCTGAAATTTTAGTTTTTTTTTTGATAAAGAAAGGGCGTACGTACCGATAACAATTCCTTTTCTTTAAGTCCTGAAGGCAATATCGTAATAACTGAGGGTTGAGCCTATAAATACATAGTAATATTATGTATTGCTTTATATTAAATTTTTCGAAACAATGTTATGAAAATAAAAATTGATTTTACCGAAGGATCTGTAGACATAAGGGCTTTCTTAAACGTATCCTTAATGAAGTCCTCCATGGGATCCATTTGATATATTTTAGCGTAGTCTAACCAAAATGGGCCGTGTTTCGAGGACTGGTAGAAATATTTTTCTAATAATTTGCCATCTAAATAATAATCGTAATAGTGACCGCATTTGCATTTTGACTGTTTAACATATTCCATCACCCGATCATCCCTTTAAATGTAATGTGTAAAAAGTCAAACATTAATGAATTTTTCCAAAATATTTTCTTAGTAAATTATATGAAATAGGAATGCTTTCACCATTTAGCTAGACAATCACACATTTCACTGCATTTTTCTTTTACATCTTTTGGAAATTTCCAATAGCCATGTATGTTAGTAAAATTTTCGCTACCGTATTTCACAATTCCTCCATTAATAGGTATAAATCCAGTTGGTAACAAAGAAAGGTCTAAAATTATAATCATAATTAAAAATACATTATTCATAATTATCGTTTGTTAGAAGGCGTATGAATAATACTTGTCGCTATTATAAAACATTAACAATAGTTAATAATTAACAAACAGCAAAGGAATATTGAAATATTAAAGTTTTTAAATTGAATACATTATCTTGTGGCCGGAGTAGGAAAGGAAAAGGGGAGATCTCCCGCCGGGCAAGGTGTTCTGCCCGGGGAGCGGCCTACACTCCAAGTGATAGTTCGGAGAAGTTCTATATATACTGTCTATGATTCGGAATGTTATAGCGCGATTTAGGCTTCGGTGTGTTTCGCTTGCGGCGCGACGACAGCGCCGCTACATCACCCCCCTGCTCAGACCCGGAGGTCGATAGTGCAGCCTCGTTGCCGACGAATGTGCAAGTGCCAGGAAATTGCCTTGTAGTCTGCGGTGAGTCGAGAAGAAGGCAAGTAATCTGCGAGAGTGCCGTGAAGCAGAGGCGAGCAGTAAGGCTCAGAGCCGTGCCGAACACTGTAGCGCAGAGAGTAGCTTGAAGGAACAGGAAGCATTATTATTCCAGTGCTGCGATTGAACCTTGTGAAGCTTATAGGGCTTAGGGCTTGCAGGATATGAAGACTGCAGACGATATCTGCTCGGGAGCGAATGGGTGGGGTATTCTATGATAATGAAGCTTGTAGTTTCTGAAGGTTGTTGGTTGCGTGTTCAGATCGGTTCGGGTGGTCACCACTGTGGCCGTAGTAGGAAAGGAAAAGGGGAGATCTCCCGCCGGGCAAGGTGTTCTGCCCGGGGAGCGGCCTACACTCCAAGTGATAGTTCCGAGAAGTTCTATATATACTGTCTATGATTCGGAATGTTAATAGCGCGATTTAGGCTTCGGTGTGTTTCGCTTGCGGCGCGAGGACAGCGCCGCTACAATCTTTACCAAAATTAGTGTTGAATGAAGAGTTCTATAGTTTTTATGGATATTGAAAACCAATTAAATGTAAAAAAACTAAGTATAAGATTATTAAGATTACTCAACCTCATGCTTGTTAATTGCTAGGTTATCTTTCGCTGTATAGATATAATGTGGAAATATCGTTTTCAATTGGGGAGAGTTATATTGTTTAATTAGGAATGATAATACATTCATTGCAATTGATTGATATACAAATAAATTTCAAATAAATTTTGTCAGTACGATACGTACACCACCTACTGTAAAGTGCAAGCAAAAGTTGATAAGGTTTTCCCGCAATCTGATGAACGGTACGGCAGCACATAAAATACGCATTGACATTAATTTTTGTATAGGTAATAGGTCTTTACCTATCAAATTGCCGTCCTGCAGTAAATAGTTTTTGTTTGCCTAAGAATTCTAATTTTAAATTAATTTTATTTTAAAACATGGAATTCTTTTTTCAACATTAGTCATTTGTTTATTGATTAACGTTCTGTTTTCATCGCATTTGAATCTTTTTAGTCATCATGGATATGTACGTTAAAAACTCGAGTAATTATGAAATATAAGTACTGTCGTAGGCGCGGCACAAGGGCTTGCAACATCAACGACGTTTACGGAGCGAAAACTAAAAAAGAACGCACCACCTGTTAGGTTTACATGTTTCCGTTTTGAAATTTCGATATTAAAAATTAACCCCGTAGTCGTGCGAAAATTTTGGTCGACAGTGACAAAGGCATCGTAAAGGCAGGCATGTATGGATGATTACTTTAATTAATATAAATAAAAATATTGAAAAAAAAAACTATGTTTACTAATTTCATAAAAGACGGCCATTCAAAGGTAAAGACCTAATATTAGGTAGTAATATGTATAACCTAAGGAAAATCCACCAACTCAGAAACGGTAACATAAGATTTTGTTGTTTCCGGATAAAACCACAAGGTTTATTTTGTAAAAAAAAAACTTACTATTTAAAATATAGTGAGGTTTTCCTCTTGAAAACACAACTCCAGAAATTTGGTACTGAGCATTGTTGTACGGCGAACTGTGTTTAGGTTTCGCTTTCTTTTTTAACATTTTTAATTTATTTAAATATGCAACTAATTTCGGGTCGCTGTTTCCTGTAAATGATAATATTGTTGTAATTAAAATTCCTCTCAGCTGCACGCTTAACCGTGGACGTGTTGAACCTATTGACTCCCGAATGTTCTGGATTGGAATATCAGCCGGGACTAATATTTGACCCTAAAAATATTATTATACCTCAATGTGTTTCGGACACTACACCATGAGTGCAGTGCAGTGCAGCACCTTTTTCGTACCATCATACCTTCGTTTAAGTAATACTACTTTTTACGGATTTTATCGCGTATATTTAACTTTTTAAATACCCGACGTTTCGAGTGATTTACAGCACCCATGGTCACGAGAGGGACTGAGATGTTCCACGTCCAGATGTCATAGTTAACCGCGGTTACCATAGATTAAAATTTAATTTTTGTGTAGATTGGAACAAAAGTAAAATTTTAATCTATGGTAACCGCGGTCAACTATGACATCTGGACGTGGAACATCTCAGTCCCTCTCGTGACCATGGGTGCTGTAAATCCCTCGAAACGTCGGGTATTTAAAAAGTTAAATATACGCGATAAAATCCGTAAAAAGTAGTATTGTTTAAATGTGTAGTGTTCGCGTAAATATAAGAAATCATTACATACCTTCGTGTTTTTCTCCGAAATGTCATGGCTTTTGTATAAAAAAATATCACACTAACAGTCAATCTTAGTCAATCAAATCTTTGCTGCATTTTTTTGCTATTGTAATAATAATAAAAGCAGTGAAGCCACCTTGTAAAAGCCGAAACAAATAAGCAAACCAAATATCTAGACCTGTCTCACGAGATGACTGATATGCGGGGTGGTCTTCCGATCGAAATTATTTCTGTAGTAATTATGCCAAGCGTAAGCAGTTGTTTTATAGATACTGATACATAGAGCGATTCAACATTGACGTCTATGCGTTTTTTTATTTAAATTATTAATTCAATCAGGTAAGTATTTCGTAAATATCAAGTAGGTAGGTAATATGGATCGCATTTTAACTCCATGAAGGTTCCGCCAGATCTGTCAAAAACTGTTAACATATAATATATGTCTCATATATATATATATATATATATATATATATATATATATATATATATATATATATATAATCAATAATCATCCAATTATCATATCACGTGTACCATATCACGTGCATATTACATTATTATAATTAGAAACAGCCCTATTGCCGTGTAGTGGCAGTTAAGAACATCCACTACCCCATATCTTCCCGTGGGTCTCGTAAAAGGTGACAGAGGGAAACAGGCAGGAGATGGGTACCATCTTCCTGATAGCAGCTACTGTACAAAAACAAAAACACAAACAAAAAAAACTGCGGTTGCATAATAGTTACGAAAAAACAGCCCCTAGTCCCCGGCGGCCCCGCTATTCCTACCTACGGTGTTGACCGTGGTAACGGCGGGGCAGGGGGTGCTAAGAATCTCCGGTGGAGGTTCGGTTACCACCTACGACGACTCGACCTGGCAACATATAACGCACGCACCCTGAGGACTGACGAAAATATCCTGGAAGAAGAGATAGACAAGTTGCGCTGAAATATTATAGGATTATCCGAGTCCGAAGAGAGCAGGAGGACACGGTGATTCTCGAATCCGGCAACTTGTTCTATCACTGGAAGGGCGACCATATGCACCAAGAAGGTGTTGGATTTATCGTCCACAAGTCTCTCGTTGACAACGATGTAAAGATTAGGAGTGTGTCGACGAAGGTTGCGTACCTTATACTCAGAATCACCAAACGGTATTCGCTGAAAGACATACAGATTTACGCACCAATGTCGGAACATCCCGAGGAGGCACATTTCCCCCACAAGCCATGTATTCCTCCCAAAACTCACTATACGCTGTTAATGGGAGACTTCAACGCAAAACTAGGCACAAGAAAGAACTTTGAGCTGAAGGTGGGGAAATTCGGGATAGGGCAAAGGAACCCAAGGGGCCGGCAGCTGGCCGACTTCATGGAAAAAGAGGGACTTTTTATGATAAACTCTTTCTTCTAGAAGCGGCCCCACGGAAAGTGGACCTGATCGAGTCCCGACGGTTCGACAAAAAATGAGATTGACTTCATTATAACGACTAGATGGCAACTGTTCAGTGATGTATCAGTGATCGTAAGGGTGAAAACTAGCAGCGATCACCGAATGGTTAGAGGCACACTGAACCTAAACGTTAAGTTGGAGAGGTCACGTCTAATGAAGTCAATGCTCCGTCCTCCTCGTGCTCTATAATCCTAAATCCCGAAACCTTTCAGCTCGAGTTATAAAACCGCTTTCAGTGCCTAGAAGATTGCAATGCAGTGGACGATATGAACGACAAGCTCGTAGAAACTGTCCATACGGTCGGAGCTAAGTTCTGTAAGACCCGCCGTGGAAGAACAAAAAAAAACTCTCCGATCACACTTAATCTCATGGCTGTTAGACGGGAGATGAGACAGCATACAGGCAACTAAACATACAGATCTCCAAATGCATTCGGCGGGACTTACGCAAATTCAATACTGCTCGTATTGAAGACGCAATCTAGGGTAACCAGGGCTCCAAAGTCTTTGCCAGAAAGAGCCAACTGTCAAAGCTGAAGACTGAGTGTGGCAGCAGCGTTTCCAGGACACCTGAGATTTAGAGTGAGATTGAGAGGTTCTATGGGCAGCTGTACACATCATCGTTTGAGCCACACGCAAGTGTGAGTAATAATCCAAAAGCAAGTCTTATGCGACATTATTCCGATGATATCCAGGACGTCAGTATGAGCGAGATTAGAATGGCTCTCCAGCACCTTAAAAACGGCCGGGGCCCCAGGCTTTGATGGAATTACAACGGAGCGTCTGAAAACGAGTGGAGCACCGGTACTTAAAGCCCTTCAGAAGCTCTTCAATTCCGTCCTCCATGGTGGCACTACTCCGGAGGCATGGAGCAGAAGTGCGGTGGTCTTATTCTACGAGAAAGGCGACAACGTTCTCTTGAAGAACTACAGACTAATTTCCCTTCTGAGCTGCGTCTACGTGCTGTTTTCGAGAGTCATTATGAATAGTCTCGCACGCAAACTCGACGACTGCCAGCTTCCCGAACAAGCCAGTTTCCGAAAAGGCTTCAGTACCATAGACCACATACAAAACCTATGGCAGATTTTACAGAAGACTGAAGGGTACAATCTACCACTTTGCCTGGCGTATGTGGACTATGAGAAAGCCTTTGATTCCGTCGAAATTTGGGTGGTGCTACAGTCCCTTCAGCGGTGCCAAGTTGACTGTCGGTAAATCGAAGTGCTGAAGTGTTTGTACAGTAGATCTATGATGACTATCCGAGTATAGAACCAGAGCTTGAAACCTATCCAACTGCAGAGAGGTGTAAGACAGGGTGACGTTTTATCCCCGAAACTCTTCACCGCTGTATTGGAAGACGTTTTCAAGCTACTGGACTGGAAATGATAGGGTATTAACATCAATGGCGAGTACATCACTCATCTTCGATTTGCCGACGATGTAGTCCTTATGGCAGAATCGCTGGAGGATCTAAACAATATGCTCAATGATCTCAATGGTGTCTCCTAACGCATAGGTGTTAAGATGAACATGGTCAAAATAAAGATAATGTTTAATGTCCATATCACACCTATGCCGGTAGTTGTTGGGATCACTATGCTCGAAGTTGTCGACGAGAATGTTTACCTGGGACAAACAGTCCGACTAGGTAAGTCGAACTTCGACCGAGAGGTCAATCGATGGATTCAAATCGGCTGGGCAGCGTTCGGAAAATTACGACACATCTTCTCGTCAGGTATACCTCAAACTCTGAAAACTAGATTGTACAACCAGTGCGTGTTGCCAGTGATGACTTACGGATCTGAGACGTGGTTTCACTGCTGGCCGTATTAGAACGCTCAAGGTCGCTCAGCGAGCTATGGAGAGGGCTATGCTCGGGGTTTCTCTACGTGATAAACTCAGAAATGAGGATATCCGCAGTACAGTCAGAGTGGCCGACATAGCCCAACGGATTAGTAAGCTGAAGTGGCAATGGGCCGGCCACATAACTTTAAGTATCGATTACCGATGGGGAAAAAAGATTCTCGAGTGGCAGCCTCGTAGCTGGTAGGCGTAGTGTAGGGTGACCCCCACTACATGGAGTAAGGACCTGGGAAGACGTGCAGGAAGTCGATGGATGCAGGTGGCTCAGGACCGTGCTTTGTGGCATTACTTGGGGAGGCCTATGTTCAGCAGTGGACTTGTGAAGGGCTGTAATGATGACGATGATGAATTAGAAACAACAAAGTCGGACAGCATTTATTACGTACGTAAGGTACACGGTGGCTCCCAAAATTTATAAGTACAGATACGTTCTTCCGTTTTCTCTTTTTTGTTTCTTTCTTTTCGCTTTTCGAGCTGAAATTAATCAGTTGTTGGCTTGATTTACACAAATTGAGTAAAAACAATTAATAATAAAAATATTAGCTTACAAATTGTTTATCCTCGCAAAGTTTTTCATAGCTCTGTAACAAATAAGTAAATCAGGTACGGTTGATTAACATATCGAGGTATTTTTGTGTACCGTGTCATAATTTTAAAAACGGAACACATATGGTAAGGCCTATATAATAAAGAAATATATAATAAAGCGTTTAACTGAACATACAGATTCAAGGCATTGAGACAAATACCTACACAGCCACGAAGTACACCCCGCCAGACGCTTGCTACTTGCTTGTTTTTGTGAGTATCAAGGGAAAACGAAAAAAAAATGGTGGCTAAGATTATTTACTCTGCATAACATGCACTTGACCGATGTGTGACTCAGTAATACAAACGAAACGCCCAACTTATGTATCATTATTTTATTTTTTAACTTCTAATCTAAACTACGTTAGGATGCCCTTCCAAACGTCATTGAATGGGACTGCCTAAAGTCAAAAAAGTTAAGTAAAAAGGGATACGAACAATGCCTAGGATGCTAAGCTTTTCACCTACACTTTCGAATGGCGACCGATGGCAAGCTTCTGCTTTTCCAAAACCTACCCTAACAGGATCATGCCCATGAAAATATCACACGTCCTTAAGGACCGCGAGGTGAGGTTCTCATCTAGCTTATCGGTCGGTCCCTTAGTACCTATCCCAATATCTCGGAAGTCTGGTGACTACTGTAAAGAGACGACAAAAGCAGATACCTACAACAAACAAGAAGATGTAAGAAGGAAGAGGTTATAGGAAACCTACACTAGCGCACTAATTTGAATATTTGAAACCTCTTACGTATAAAAGAAAATAATAAAAAAAGTATATGTATATTTCAAGCTTATTTATAAATTGTTTTAATTAAAATCTGTCCGAATTATATTTTCACCACATTAAGACGTACATAAATATTATTTACTTTTCGCATTATTATAAAATATTATTATAAGATACGTAGGTACTTACAGTTTGGCTTCGCAACCTAACTTTGTTTCCAAGTGGCAAAGGTTTATTTGTTAACTTTTTCACCTTGAACGAATAATTACTATAAGTTGGGACATAATTCTTTTGAAGATAATCACCATATTTTACGTTGGGTTTAAAATTCTTCTTTTTCTCTGTAAATTATACCGAATAAGATTCTAAAATATTTCGTCATCAGCCTTAAGAGTTTAGCAAATAAATATACAAACTTTCCGGTTCTACATGCTCCATTTCTTTTTTAGTTTCTGTTAACTTTTCTAGTTCTTCTATGCATTCGTTCAAATCAATAAATACCAAGCTGGACATTAAAATCCTTGCATTCATATCATACTCTGTAAATGAAAACAATAAATATCTACGGATAATCATATTTTTATATACCTACTGTTACAAATTTATAATCTAATTTTATTATCTATTATTATTGTTAAATTTTTTAAATATAAGTATTAATCTCCAATTGATAATTTTATTAATCTTATGGTTAACTTTTGGTAAGCGGCAACAACACCTGTTCGAGTTCTACCGGGGAGTTTCTAGTGTAGTTAATTACCTTCCTCTTGCTTGCCAAGGTCCGCCTTACGGTCTGGAGTGGAGTGCCAGAAATAGATTACACTTCGCTTACTGGTGCGAGGCTGCCATTCTTTCCCATCGGTGGTCGGTTTTTCGAGCTGACCCAGCCCATTGCCACTTCAGAGTGACCAACAAGGCCCATCGGATCATTCAATCCAGTGGACTATGTTGGTTACTTTGATTCTGCTTTGGATATCCTTATTTTAAAGTCCATCACGCAGAGTAACTCCGAGCGTAGACCCTCCACAGCCGCTAAATGACCTTGAGCATCCTGATACGTCAGCAGTGAAGTACCATGGCTCAGGTCCATATATCATTACAGGTAACAAACACTGGTTGCACACTTTTTATCACTAGTTTGGGAGATTGCGACGATATGTTATTATTTCCCCACCGCTGCCAAACCAAGTTAAATCCGTTTGATTGATCTTTCGGTCTAAGTTGGATCTAAATAAACATACTTGTCAACAGCTTCGAGCGTGGTGTTACCAACAACTACTGGCATAGTGTGATGGAACTTTCTAATCTCACTATACCAGAAAAGAGTGGTGATGAGAGAAGATTTGTTAGGATTAGTGGTGACGGTCATAGTACACGTAATGTAATTTTTAACATCTTTAATAAATCTATTGAGAAATTAGGATATAATAGCCCCACCCCCAGAGCTCAGTATTCAAATCCACGAAGCATCCCATACCTCATGCATCATATACCATACAATAACCATATTATATACATATTTAATTACATACTTATCCCTTTTTATCAGTAGTTTGGTTATATTTTGTAACACTTTTACGGATTCTTTTTTAACGTGGTAGAGTCACTCAGCAGCTTTTGTTGTTGCATAAATCGACCGGCTCGACCGCGCTAGTACAACGGCCTCACAGAAAACCAGCGTGAAGTTTTTGTTTAATTTTCTGATTCTTTGACCACTATCTCAAGAAACGTGATAATAGTCAAACACTGAATAAAAGTAAGTGGTGATGCAGACGAAGATGGTAAAGCGCACTGACATAGCTTAACAAAAGCCCTCATTGTAATCAGATTAAAAGACAAATGCTGACAACTTATTCCGCTCCTTTGCTGTACGCAAGACGAACGACAAAGCAAACTTTTTGATTCGAATGCGTGGTGAGTCGAAAACGATGGAGTGGAAACCGAGTGGTTATCCGATAGTGGAAGGAAGAAGGAAGAATTTAGATATGCAAATTCCTAGGTACTGTTCGAGATTGGTTTTAAACAGATTCGCGTCACCAATAAACCTCTTTGCACGTCTTTCCATTGCGTCCAAAGCTGCTAGGTGGCATTAAGCAGCACCAACCCATATAATATGTAATTACAAAGCAATGTATTTTTTATAACATTAAAAAGCTAACGAGCTAACAATCCACTTAATTGTAAGTGGCTACTGCTGCTCAAGGACGTCTACATCCAACTTCAAACAAAGCAGACCTAAAGTTCGTTGTCACGCTTAAGGTCTCGGATGAATTACACTACAGCCTGTAAATATACTGGCACTCTTGCCTCTTGATCTGGAATATAATGCCGATTATAACATTATAAGATTTTTGTACTAAAACTTTTGTACTTGTTTAACCATTTCACGGCTCAGTGGACCATCGGTTTAGTGTTTGTCTGCGACTGTGAAGGGTTAGAACCTTTTATACGTGATACAGCCACACTGTAGCTATATTATGGTTGTAGCACGAATGGGTCGGTTCGATCGGGGAAAGAGCCCGCTCTAACAGAATAACAGCTTAAAACAGCAGCTTAATAGCTTAATACTGCTGTATTTCGTATGGTCAGTGTAGAGATCCGGAGACCCTTATTCACTGGAAACGAGGCATTCCATCTTAATCCTCAGGTGTGATAACGTATCTGCGTTTTGATTCTTAATCGAGAATAATCTACATTTATTCTATGGGCCACAGGATCCACTTACAATCAAGTGGATTTTTTTTTATAGAACAGGGGGCAAACAAGCATACGGCTCATCTGATGTTAAGTGACTACCATCGCCCATGATCAACCGCAACACCAGGGGAATTGCAAGTGCGTTGCCGGCCCTTTAGAAATGAGTAAGCTCTTTTCTTGAAGGGCCCTAGGTCGTATCGGTTCGAAAAAATCGCCGGTGGCAAACTATTCCACAGAGAGGTCGTACGTGGAAGAAATCTCCTAGTGAAACGTACAGTGGTGGTCCGCCAAGTATCCAGATGGTGTGGCGGGAGTGCGTTCATGAAATTTGGCGGCTGAGATTAATCCGAACAATTAAGAAATCAATTAACAAAACAAGAAAACGCAAAGACATGCAACATCTCTTCACAGCGCCAGTGAATCGAGCTGATCGGAAAGCACTCGGTCGTCGACGATTCGAGCCGCTCTGCGCTAGATGCGGTCAAATGGAAGGAGCTGGCATTGGGGAGCCTCAGCTCAGAGATGGAAACAGTATTCCATGTACGGCCGAGCCTGCGCCTTGTAAAGTTACAGGTGGTGTGCCGGCATGAAATACTGTTGCGCTCTGCTGAGCACGCCAAGCTTTTTAGAGGCCAATTTGACCTTCTCTTCCAACTGACCACGAAACTGCACGTCACTCGATATTTCAACTACGAGGATTCCGATACTGGCTGAGGCAACAAGGGGAGTGCCCTGAAACTGAGGAGATAGGACAAAGGGGTTTTTTAGCGGTTAAGCGCAAACTTGTGTCTTCTGAGGGTTAAACTGAACTAGATTTAGTCGCCCCAAATCCGAGACTATTTTCAGTAAAGACTCGACTTCAGACACAAGTTTGTCCCGGTACTCGGCGACGTTTTCCCGAGAAATATTGGCACGGCCGGTGTACAGAGCATCACCAGTGCTGTCATCTACATAGCAATGAATGTTGCCGGTTTGCAACATATCATTGATATGCAGAAAAAACAGCGATAGGCTTGTAATCGGAGCTTGCATCGACAGAGGGTACCACCACGACAGAGACCACGGTTGCAACTGCCACCACGGCGCATCCGAGGAAAACGGACAGAAGAATGAAGCCGCACAGAAGGAGGCGACCAAGAAGACTCCAGAGGAAATTCCGGACAAGGGCGTTCATGGCTCCGCCACAACCCTTAAGCCAAAGGGGGTCAGTCGTCGCGCCAGGTCCATGAAGACCACGAGCTCCTCAGCCAGGAGACGCGAGCTGGAAGCCAGAGAAGAATTAGCACGCATGAAGCTGAAGCAAGCCCAAGCTGCGGCGAAGATAACCCGTGTCAGATTAGAGCTGGCACAGTGTGAAGAGGAAGACTCCGTGGATGAAGACCAGGAAGACAGAACAGCACAGGTGCAGAACTGGATCGAGACATCAGTATTGGAAGTAAACAACATGGGAAAACATGAGTAACAAGGTCAGCACCCTCCGGAAGAGCCACAGAATGTGAAGCCTGAAGAGAACTCCTCAGCGAAAAAAGGTACGAGCGAGATTCAAGCGCTGACGATAGCATTGAAGGAAGCCCTTACCACAAGAGTAGGACCAGTAGCTCAGCCAAAGTACATCCACGAGTTACCCAACTTCGATGGCTACAGCAGCGAGTGGTTGGCCTTCAAAGTTGTCTACGGAGATACCGCCCCGATGTTCAACGCAGACCAAAACATGGCTCGACTAAGAAGAGCACTAAAGGGCAACGCAAGACTCTGAAGCCTCTCCGTTGGAAGTAATGCAGGCCCTCAGGAGACGATATGGAAGACCTGATGCGCTGGTGCTGGCTGAATTGGACAAGGTCATGGCGTTACCGAAGATTTCTGAAAAACCAAGGGATATATGCGTCTTTGCGAGCCAAATCAACAACAGCGTAGCAGCAATAAAGGGTTTGAAGAAACCACAGTACCTGCAAATTCACCTGAAATGGTAAAGCAAATTATAGAAAAAATACCTACAATTCTCAAGTTCCGATGGTATGACTTTACTGCAGCAACAGAAGAGGGCGAGTTCTCCGACCTGGCGATGGTCTCCAAGTTCCTGAACATCGAAGCAGACAAAAGTGAAGCCTTCGTGACCTCAAAAGAGAAGAGCGGGTTCAGAAGAACTCATCGACAAGCTACGCATTCTACAAGGAAAAAGGACTTCAAAGGAAGAGATTCAAGACAGTCAACATAGAAGACTTGTCCTATGTGTCAAGGTGGACACTTCCTCGTCGACTGCCAGAAGTTCCAGAAGACGTCAGTACAAGATCGGTGGGCAACAATAAAGAAAAGTCACGTTTGCTTCAAATGTCTTCAAGGGAAACAAACTGTTTCGGTATGGGACCTATAGAGGCACCCCAGTATAGTAACTTGGTTCTGGATGCTCAGCGAGGGTTTCTCCAGGGGTGCTGCTACCCTTCTGGAGTAGATCTTCATATAATTCCGCTACCATATTAAGGGAGGGGGGGTTGGTTCTCCGGCGACCTACATTCACCAGATGAAACGTGGAAGCTGAGCTTCCACTTCACGCCGGTATTCTGTGAGATCGTGGTACCACCCCGGTTTGCGCCGGCCCATACGTGCAACAGTAAAGCTGCCGCGTGGCTCTACCACTGTTAAAAGACACAGTTAAGAGATTGTGTGCTCATTTGTCACCCTTTTCTATAAAAAAAATCTAAGCCCGCACAGAGCAAGTATTTGTATTTTACAAACACACGGTACATGGACGTACGTCAACGTGCGAATTATGTATGTAAATCGCCTACACGATACAGGAGAAAATTCTAGTATTGTAATAACTTTTTAAGGAGTAATTTTAATTCTGTTTTTTATGTAACATAATTTTCTTACGGCAGCGGCCTGTGTGTAGGGTGATAGAGTTTCATTAAATGACCTCCTCCATCGCAACTATGCATTATTAGATACAGTGTTGCTACTTAATGGGCACTTTACCTGGTCGTAAATAGCTAGGTGGCACTTTATAATAAGAATTATAAAGGTTCCAAATAAAAATCCCAGGATCTTCTATAGAATCTTTCATGGCTTTCATCAACAACGATTTTGGTATTTTTAAAGTTACTCCTAGGTCCGATAATGACTTTCTTGTTCTTCTTGGTATATCTTCTATTAAGTCTTGATGAATGTTTGCTTTTAAATCGTTCAAAACTTGCTTCTGAACATCGGATAATTCACAGTACCAAGTAGGTCCCACCTCAGATTTCAACCTTTTAAGCTTCCTTTTACCTGTGTTGTTACAATTTAATAATTCATAATATAATATTGATTGAGTGATATTCATGCAAACATTATCTACCTACAAACAAGGTCACCTAGATTTTGGAGTTTTTATATTACATTGAAATATTAGGAAATTTTTATTCGGCTTTAATATAAGGGCGACAGTGTTATTAACGAAAATAATTTATTTCCATTCTTTAGGAATGTTTACGTACGTACGTTGTCCGAGTGTAAGGACATGTAACTGACATCCCCTTACACTCAGATATTGTAACAACGTCTTATATAAATGCTAGCCTCGCCTGCACGCTGTACACTCTAGTACAGTACAAGGTTCTTGCGAACGACAAATAGTGCAATGTACCATTATAAAATGGCCAACCCACCAGTATGAGAGTATTAGCTAACCAGTTCATAAAAGGCATACATTCAATTCATCACAAAATGGTGATACAAAAGAGAAGGATGGAAGAAACTGTGGACAGCAATGGACGTTATATAGCTGAAAGAAAATGCAAGAACATGCAATTCAAGTTAGACCAAATTGATACGATTGAACATTTCAGCTAAAATTACAGTCATATTATATTATTGACATATTATATATGACGATATTGATGATTATATAATTAATATACAATAAAATTAAATGTTTTAGCAGTGTCGTGGATCAGCCAGGAATCCATCTCATAGAAATTCGGAAACGGGGTCCCAATCCTTTTTTCAAACTTCTCAGTGAGTGCCTATAACAACAAAACAAATCAAAACAATCTGAGTACCTACAGATATACACATGACTGCCAGAGAATGCCAAAAGGTATTCAGTAGTGCGCCCATTTTTACCTTAGTTGTAAGGTGTTACAATAAAGAATAAATAAATAAATAAAAAGCGAAATCTAGCAAATTCTAACAAGATGTAAAAAAGCCCCGAAGGTGCCCACTGACGATACGTCCATTAATCCAAATGGAGTGGCAATCGCCCAAAATCGTTCCGTCAATGTTAAAAAACTATTCCATTTGGATGGAATTCATCCAACTCTGAATTTCCAAACGGATTGAAATCCATGCGTCCAGTCCAAATGGACGTCATCCGCGGCCGTCCGTCAATGCCAAAAACGTGCGCCACGCCAAATTCACTTCCATTTGGCGTGGCACACGTCCGAATTGTCAGTGAATGGGCGAACCAGCGTCCATTTTTTGGAGGTTATTGTGTCAGTTTATGTTTTGGTGTTGATGGTGGTACATGTGCTTTGTTTGTCAATAATAAACAGTGTATTGGATAAAATATTTTTTATTATGTAAATTATGAGTGACATGGGGTGACAAACGAGTACACTGTCCACGTGATTAAGTTGATACTGTAGTGTAGTCCATAGACGGAATCTATCATCGAATAAGAATCAAAATGTAAATGCGTTGTCACCCCTGTAGAACTAGGTGGAGTGCCTCGTTCCCGGTAAAAGATTATACGTATTAAGCTGCTATTTTATGCTATTGTGTGAGAGCGTGGTCCTTCTTCATTATAGTCGACACATTTGTGCTACAGCCATAATATAGATGCGACGGTGCTCTACCACGTATAGTTAATATGATTATTACCTAATATGTTGATTTCTTAAATTTCTACCTGAGTCAACGATATTGCTCCACCTTAATCTATACCATATCTATGATAGGAGTGACGAACTAGCACAGTCCATCTGGTGGTGGGTGATTTTGAATTAAGAATCAAAATATAGATGCGTTGTCATCTTTGAAGACTACGATGGATTCCCTCGTTTAGGTTTTCTTTGTCTTTTTGATGAAATACACGCTGCTGCTGCCACAAGTAAAGTATTATTATCCATATTATTATTAATTTCCGTTCCGTACGACTGCCAAGTTCAAAGTGATGCCATACGTCTAAACGGAAGTATCGTCAATGGTACCGTATCTGGATAAATCTTTAATTGGAGTGCATCCATTTTGAAGTCTACTAAATGGACGTATCGTCAGTGGGTACCTTTATTCACAAATTATTCATAATGTTAACTGTTGTATGCTTTAAATTATTTAAGTGTATTAAAATTGATTATACCTTCAAGATTCTGGTAGTGTTTTAGTTCCTTCAAAAACTTCAACCATCTACCCACTTTTTCGTTATATGGTTTCTTGTGTATATTTTCCTTCATTTCTCTCTCCAAGTAAATCCACACTGGTTCCTTTTTGTCTCCAATCGTCTACACAATGATTTTTTTATTATTTTAAAATAAATTGGCAACTTAAGTTCAGTTATTTTTATTGTTAAAACTAATATTATAAATGCGAAAGTGTCTTTGTTTGTTTGTTTGTCCTTCTTTCAGGTCGCAACAGAGCGTCGGCATGGCATGCTTTTTTGTATGGGGATAGTTCGGTGGCTGTAGAGTGACATAGACTACTTTTTTCCGCGGAAAAACATCTCATTCCTGTGGGAAAATCGAATATGTTGCAAAATTAAATTCAGCTAGGTGGCGCCACCGTGATCCTACACGTGACGGACGACGGTACGATGGACGAACACAGAAGGTCAGAATATCTGGATTATTATGTCTTTTTACCAAAATTAAGACAAAAAATATATGGATCTGCATTTTTCCACGCAGGACCGGGAAGAGAGCGATAAAAAACATAAAATTCACCAGCTGATTTTCTTCAAACGTTTTGGTGCATTGTAATTCACAGAATAGGCGATAACCTCGCAGACGATATTAAGTAATCCGTTGATGCTCTGCCTACCCCGCAAGGGTTACAGGCGTGATTATAAGTATGGATCAGAAAAACTATCACCACCTGTCACGCTTTCACCCTTAACTATTACTTAACTGTGGTAGAAACAGTTCTTAGTAAGCCTTATTAATAAGCCTTAGTAATATTTATGGAACGAAAATGAATACTGTTCTTATATGTGGTTGTGAATGAATCGGTATTACAATAAGAAAAATTGTGTAAAATTATAAGAAAAATATTGTTTGAGAGTTCTTATTAACTAACGTATACATAGTTTAAATTGATTCCACTAGATGTCGTTACTAAGTTTTTAAAACGCGGTAAAGAAATGTTTCCTGACATGTATTTAACTCCCGCCGTTGAGCCGTGCGTCAATTTATAGTGCATACAGTACCTATACGCTTAAATTGTTTCTATTTCGTAGCTTATTCGACTACTTGCTTTCGATTTCGGTTGTTTGTTATTTGCTTTGTGATTTGGTTAAGGTTGAATGTGTATTTTCTTGGATCGGTTTTGTTGATTTGGTTGGTATTCCTTTATACATATTTAGACTCTGGCTTTGATTTTGGATTTTGTTTATTAAAGAATCGTGAATTGGTTTTCGTTGTTTTAGGTTGTTTAACAATATTTCAAAGCAATATTAATAGTATAGATAGTGTATCGGTACCTATGCACTTACTTCTTTTTTCGTTGGTTATATTTATATTGACTACTGCTTTCGATTTCGGTTTTCTGCGATTCGTTTTGTGACTTGGTATAAGTTGATCCAATTTTTTTGGCTATCGTTTTCGGATTCATGTTGTCTTGAATTGCTTTTGTTGTTTTGATTTTTAAAAATATTTAAAAGGAATATTTATTTCTTTTAGATATTTTGGATTTGCTTTTAAAAAAATATTTAAAAGGAAATTTAATTCCTTATAGGTATTTTAACGTTTTTTTATAAATAGGTTTTTTGTTACTTCATAATGCCTCGCAAACGTATGTCCAGCCTTTCAAGAGTATCTTCTCAAAGACAAGCGATAAGATTACCTCGATTGCTAGAATCTTTAGAAGATGCTGAACTGAGAAGGCAAGAACAAGCAGAGCGTCAGGCTGCTTTTAGAGCATCTGAGACACCTTGTCAACGTTAGCAAAGGTGTTTTGAACAGACAGAGCGTCAGGCTGCTTTAAGAGCTTCCAAAACACCTTCTCAAAGTCAGGAAAGGCGTCTTGAATAGGCAGAGTGTCAAGCTACTTTAAGAGCTTCTGAAACACCTTCTCAAAGTCAGCGAAGGCGTCTTGAACAGGCAGAGCGTCAAGCTACTTTAAGAGCTACTGAAACACGTGCTCAAAGTCAGCAAAGGCGTCTTGAACAGGCAGAGCGTCAAGCTACTTTAAGAGCTACTGAAACACCTGATCAAAGTCAGCAAAGGCGTCTTGAACAGGCAGAGCGTCAATCTACTTTAAGAGCTACTGAAACACCTGCTCAAAGTCAGTAAAGGCTATTCGAACAAGCGGAACGTCAGGCCGCCTTAAAGACCGCGGAAACACCTGATGAAACTCAACACAGACTCATTGAGCAAGCTGAACGTCAATCTACTATAAGGGCATCTAAAACACCAGAACAGACACAGGCGCGAAGAGATGCAAATGCACAGCTCCAAGCTGAACGTCGACGAAATTTTCAAATAAATAATTGGTCGGTTTTCAATGACGCAGCATTCAATTATGATCCGTTGATTGATTATAAAAATCACAGGTTAGTTGTTATCGGACTGATGGACAAGACGTGTCGATTTTGCAGCGCTTTAAAATGGAAAGATGAGACCGCAGGCATGTGCTGTTCCAATGGCAAAGTGTCTCTTCCGTTACTTGGGGAACCAGAACAACCTTTGAAAACTCTCTTTTTATATGATGCTAATGAGTCACGGTGCTTTTTAAACGGGATCCGGAAATATAACTCATGCTTTCAAATGACGTCCTTCGGAGTTGACCGGGAAATAATAATGCCGGGATTTTCGCCTACATTTAGGATTCAAGGGCAAATTTATCATAGAATAGGTTCACTTTTTCCAGCTGAAAACGAACAGAATAAATTTTTACAAGTATATTTTATGGGTGACCAAGAAATTGAGGTAGACCGTCGCTGCCAATTTATCCAGGGAGTTGAGAGAGACACAGTGTTTAAAATTGAAAGATTCTTGCATGAACGTAACATTTTAGTCAAAACATTTAAAACTGCTTTAGAAAACCTACCTGAAGAGGATTATAAAGTCGTCATTCACGCAGATCAGACCCCTCGAGGAGAGCATGAAAGGCGCTACAATGCACCTTTGATAAACGAAATAGCAGCCGTAATTAGTGGTGATCAATTTTCTTCACGAGACATTGTCTTGCGAGCACGTGATGATACGTTGCAACGGGTAGCCGATACACACAAGTTTTATGACGCTCTGCAATACCCATTGATTTATTGCAAAGGACAAGAGGGTTATAATTTTCAAATTCCACTCATTAACCCGGTCACAAAGGAGCCTACTCCGAACAAAAAAGTATCATGTATGGATTTTTATGCGTATCATATGATGTTGCGAGAAAATTATTTTAACCTCTTAGCCCGGTATAGATAGTTACTTCATCAATTTTTGGTAGACATGTATAAGAAGGTAGAGAGTGAACTTCTCCGTTATATATCTTTAAATGAAAAAAGCTGCGCGTTGAGAATTATATACATTTACAAGATGCAGTTTCTAGTGACGCCAATGTAAACACCAGAGATTTAGGTGAAATGGTAATTCTGCCCTCATCATTCGTTAACAGTCCCCGCTACCTACATGAATACACACTTACTTGCAATCCCACATGGAAAGAAATAACCGAGGAGCTAATGCCGGGCCAAAAAGTACTGACAAACACGATTTAGTTGCTAGAGTATTTAGATTAAAAGTACAAAAATTAATGCATGTAATTAACAAAGGGAAAATTTTCGGAGAGGTGCAGTGCTTCATGTATTCAATTGAATGGCAAAAAAGAGGATTACCGCATGCCCACATTTTAATATGGCTTAAAGAGAAGTTGCGGCCCAGCCAAATAGACGACATAATAAGCGCCGAGATTCCGGATCCTGAGCAAGATAAAGAATTGTATGATACCATCGTCCGAAATATGATTCACGGTCCATGTGGAGCACGAAATTCAATATCGCCATGTATGAAAGAAGGAAAATGTACAAAGAAATTCCCTAAACAGCTATTAAAAGAAACAGTGCACAATGACAATGGCTACCCTTTATACAGACGCAGAGCTCCCGAAGATGGTGGCAGGAAAGTTACAATCAAATCTCGCTCTGGAGCGTTCGAAACCTTAGATAACAGCTGGATTGTCCCGTATTCGCCCATTCTATGTAAAATGTTTAATGCCCACATTAATGTAAAAGCATGTAGCTCTGTCCGCGCAATCAAGTATATCTGAAAGTACATAAATAAAGGAAGCGACCAAGCAATATTTAATCTCAGGAGTGAAGGTGAGGCAAATCCCGTTAATGAAGTACAGACCTTTCAAGCAGGGCGTTATGTCAGCAGTAACGAGGCAGCGTAGCGTCTCCTTGGCTTACCTTTACACGAAAGGCACCCAACAGTTACTCACCTTGCTGTGCACTTAGAAAACGGAGAGTGTGTATATTTCACCGAAAGAAATTTCCAAGAAAGAATTGCATCACCGCCAAAAACTACACTAACAGCCTTCTTTCAACTTTGTCAAACCGACCCCTTTGCAAAAACGTTGTTATATTCTGAAATACCCCGCTATTATACTTGGAACACATCTAGGAAGGAGTGGAAACGCCGTATTCAAGGAGCGCCTGTTGCAAATTGGCCCGGTGTAAAGTCATCAGATGCCCTTGGTTGTGTGTATACCGTCCATGTAACTAATTTTGAATGTTTCTGTTTACGATTGCTGCTGCACCATGTTCGGGGTCCTACAGGATATAAAAACCTTAAAACTGTCAACGGTCAGGAATTCGCAACTTATAGAGAAGCATGTGAAGCTCTGCATCTTTTAGAAAACGATAATCACTGGGATGAAACCATGGAGGTAGCTGTGCAGTGCCAGTCACTATCCAAAATTAGGGATCTTTATGCAACTCTCATATCATCTTGCGGGCTATCTAATGCACATGAATTGTGGGACAAATATAAAGAGTACATGGCGGAAGATATTTTGCGAAGGTTACAGCAGACACACGCGAACATGATATACAATGAACACATTTATAATGAAGCACTTGGAAAAATTGAAGATAAAGTAATGGCAATGGTAGGCAAAAAATTAAGCGGCTTTGCAATGATAAGCCCTCAGCGATCAACCGAAAATGAACTAAGTGATGAAATTATACGTGAAACAAACTACGATATACCAGCTTTGCAGCAGCGAGTAGCCGAATTTGTACCCCGCTTGCTACCCGAACAAAAACGACAAATTGAATCTGGAAATGGTG